TTATTGAAGTATAGTAAATTAGAATAAAACCGAGATCATATTCGAAAAGAACACAGTCAGATGAATACGAAATAGTTTTTCGAGTGAAACTTAAGAGTTTTGGAATGGATTCTTTCGAAAACGGTCTAGGCTGTAAAGGCTCTCTCCGGTATTTTGAGAACGCGCAGCTAAGTGCAGGTCTGAACTAACATATTTTTATACCAAAATGTTCCTGGCGAGGCCGTGCATCTATGGTGAATGCGCAAAAGTGCACATATTTCCCTGGACGGGTATTGGTTTTTCAAAATCCCTCGGTTTTTGAGGTAAACTGACCTTTTCGCGCTCAAAAAACATTTTTTCCTACATGATATATATACATTCGGAATCACCGTGAAAAACTGCAAGGATGGTATATAATTCATCTGAATTCGCTCCTCCCGTTCTGAATTCTATAAATTTCTTAGATTTAGGAATCACACGAAGAACGTTCCGCTGAAAATTCAAAATTCAAGAGAGAAGCTGTGAAAGGCCTGAAAAAACTGCTTCTATAGGTTATCGACGATGCTCTATCCAATGGAATGGTTTCTCAGTTTAAAAACGTTTTTCAAAGAGTTTTCCACAAATCCGGTCTCTAGAAAACCCACTGGAAAACTTTGGCGAAACTTGAAAACTGTTCCATTGGAATGAGAATTGTCGAAAACCTATAGAAAGTGATTCACATAATTTCAGTCCACTTATAAAGTTAATGTCCGCCTGCTCTAGCGAAAAATGCCCACTGTGCAGTGCCCATCGGAAAGGTGACAACTATGAAAATCTACGGTTTAGCATCTTCTACAATGATGTAGATTACGCACCTAGCAGACGCGCTATCTCTGGTATATCGGTGGTATTCTATATTTACCTTTTCGTAGCTTTTTTACCATAGTAAGTATTCATCTTTGTCGAAACAGTAGACATATATAGCAACCAGAAGTAATAAATCATAAATTTCTGGTACCAATTGTGATCCAATACGTCCCGATACAATCAAAACAATTTCTTCATTTGACTTTCGCTGAATATAATGCCTGCACAGGCCAGTTGAATCAAATGTTTTCAAATAGTTAATTGCACGACGTAATTCTGTTTGTATTTCACGATTTTCATCTGTTTTATTAACGTTTTCATCACACCATAATACAGAATAGGTTTCAAGATTTATTTCTTCTTCTACTTCATCTTCATCTTGTTCCTTTATTGAATCTGCCTTGATGTTTCTGCTGACAGCTGCTGACAATTTATTCTGTTCAGTCGTTAGTAGTTAGTCCATGTTCACAACATTTTCTGCCGAAACTATTCTGCATGGATCAGCGTCTCTTTCCATCGAACTTCAACATGATTTTGGCATCCTTTTTATAGTTTCAAAACGTATCTGATACAGTACACGATTTAGATATGTCGTATAGAAGTTACAACTTCGATAGCCTATCTTATCGAAATTACAACTTCTATAAACATACTTCATCGAAGTCGTTTTCATTAAGTTGAACGATGAATAATTAATTATTTGAATGATATGATCAAACTCCGATATGACAGATATATACTTAAAAAGGTCTTAGTTCTTTGATACCTTTAATAGCGATAAGATTCTGTGCGATACCGTTTGTGTTTATTATTCATTTTATATTTTTATAATAAAAAATGCTCTTTTATGTTTTCTCTGTTCTCTTAACAACATAAAATGTCATAAATAATTTGAAGGTGGAGCAATAGAAATAAATCTAGAAATTATTGAGCATAAAACTGCTACGATAATCATAATAGACTTTTAACAAAAATCTATTATGATTTTCGTAGCAGTTCTTCATTATTCATCACTTTCTTCCACGACATTTAATGTGTTGTTGTTGATTATTAAAAAATGCAACAGAAGATAATATGCTTCGCCGGATATTCGAACAATCGCTCCTTCTTTCATTTTCTTTCTTTCTTTCTGTGACGTTGATTATAATTACCTCGATGAACAGAGAGATGAAGAGAGAACAACGAAAAACAAATATCCTTACGGGTATAAAAAAGGTGTGCATATTTGTTGTTCAACCGAAAGCAACTCAAAAGCACATTAGTAAAAGAAAACCATAAAAAAATGAGTAGTTGCCTAATTCGAGTTCGAATATAAATGCATATTCTTTATATCTATATCTATCTCTATGAATATAGATCTACATCTATATCCATATACATACATAGGCAGGGATATCTCCTGTAGATGCAGATATGGTTAGGAAAAGATTTAGTTTTATCTATACATACATACATATATAGATAGGGTATGTCCTGTAGATGTAGATTTAGTTAGGAATAGATTTAGTTTTATCTATACATATATACATACATAGGTAGGGATATGTCCTGTAGATGTAGATTTAGTTAGGAATAGATTTAGTTTTATTTATACATATATAGATAGATAGATAGGGTATGTCCTGTAGATTTATTTAGGAATAGATTTAGTTTTATCTATACATACATAGATAGATAGATAGTGTATGTCCTGTAGTTGTAGATTTAGTTAGGAATAGATTTAGTTTTATATATACATACATAGATAGATAGATAGGGTATGTCCTGTAGATGTAGATTTAGTTAGGAATAGATTTAGTTTTATCTATACATACATAGATAGATAGATAGTGTATGTCCTGTAGTTGTAGATTTAGTTAGGAATAGATTTAGTTTTATCTATACATACACAGATAGATAGATAGTGTATGTCCTGTAGTTGTAGATTTAGTTAGGAATAGATTTAGTTTTATCTATACATACATAGATAGATAGATAGTGTATGTCCTGTAGTTGTAGATTTAGTTAGGAATAGATTTAGTTTTATCTATACATACATAGATAGATAGATAGGGTATGTCCTGTAGATTTAGTTAGGAATAGATTT